ATAATTTAAGGAATATTCCTTAAATCATAATAAGGATCCTACTATAATTTAATGAAAATTCCTTAACTAAGGAATATTCCTTAAATCATATTAAGGATCCTACTATAATTTAAGGAATATTCCTTAATTAAGGGATATACCTTAATATTACCCTTATAGATCCCTTTAAAGGAACCCTAAACCTTACTTAAGGAATATTGGAGTCTCTGGGTTGTCAGCCTTTTGAGGCGCTGGCATCGTGAGGAGCGCTCAGAGCCTGCGCCCGCTCTGCAGGCGAAGAGCCCGTGGGAGTTGTGAAACGCGAGGAAAACGCACGAGAGCATAGAAGGGTTTAGGGTTTAGGGTTTAGGGTTTAGGGTTTAGGGTTAGAGTAAAAGAGGCCGGGTGAGCTGACTTTGTCAGGAGGAGACGCCTCCAGCTGCCACTCCAGAGGAGCCGCAAGCAGAAGGCTCTTGGGATGGAACCGTGGACCGGAAGTTTCACATTTGCACACGCAGACTTGTCTTTGATTTTGCTGTTGGTAGTGATGCCGGACGGGAACGGTTGCAAACGGTTTGCATTGCATGTTCTTGTTTGTGTTGAGGCAGGGGTTCTGTGCACCGCATCTCGACTTGAAGTGTCACGAAAATCGTTATTCGTTTTGGCAGACCCTAAACCCTAAACCCTAAACCCTAAACCCTAAACCCTAGTCCCCCTAAACCCTAAACCCTAAACCCTAAACCCTAAACCCCGAAACCGGATCTTCGACCGCCAGGTAGCACCACTGCTAGCAGCAGCCTGGGGCCTCCAGCCTTCCCTGCTTTCCGGGTTGCTTTGGGGGTTTCCGAAAATAGGGGACCCTAGTATAGTACCCTAAATAATAGGATCCTTATAATAAGGACTCCAAAATAATATACTAATATAGTACCCTAAATAATAGGATCCTTATTATAAGGACCCCAAAATACGGTAGCCTAATTTTCGGAAACTCCCATTTTCCGTCCTCCGCCCCTCTGAGGTTCCGAGAGCCCAGGCGCGCAAGCCGTTCCGGGCGACTCAGGCCAGGGCGGTTAGTTTAGTAAGTTCAGCTTTGAGCCGAAGATTAGGGTTTAGGGTTTAGGGTTTAGGGTTTAGGGGTTTAGGGCTTAGGGGTTTAGGGTTTAGGGTTTAGGGGTTTAGGGTTTAGGGTTTAGGGTTTAGGGTCGATCTTTTTCGAGGAGTGCTTGCGCAAGTACTCTCAGGGTAGAACTGTGCTGGGGAGGCTACACGACCGTGATGCTGCGGAACATCCCCAACAAGTACACAAGGGAGATGCTCGTGAAGCAACTCAACCAGGACTCATCCAGCAAGGCATTATTCAGCCTGTGGGTCCGAAGATGACGATCTTTCGTGTCGTGTTCATGTGATATCAGCTGCAGTTTGTCACGGCTCAGCGTCCCAGAAGCTTCGCGTTTCAAGCCTGCAGCAGCTTGATAACTGGGAAAGGCTTGCGTACCTGCGAGGATTTCAAATCCCGATTTGACTTCGTTTACTTGCCCATTGATTTTAAGAACAAGTCCTGCTGGCATGGTATTACCAACATCGGCAGTGGTTAAGATTGGTTGAGAGCAGTTGAAACGGATAGGCTGCTATGAGTAACTGGTCTGTCTATATTTGCCAGGTGCAACGTGGGCTATGGATTCATCAATTTCCGTACATCCGCAGCCTGCGACGAATTCATCGCGAAGCCGGGGCCCAGGGCAAGAGAAAATCCTTCAACAGCCTTGGACGCCAAATCCAATGCATGGCATTTTTGCAAAGCCTTGCACCGCCGAGCCGAGGTACGATGGTGTCGATGTTCGCAAGTGCCTCCCTGGGTCAGGTTCTCGGACACAGGACGCCCTAAACCCTAAACCCTAAACCCTAAATCCCAAACCCTAAGTCAGCATGCGGAACCTCCCAGTGCTTCGGACCGGTGTGGGCTCAGAACGATTGCCTGCTCCCTGCAGGCTGAACTCCAAAAAGGTCGCTGGCGTGACGCCTGCTCGCGTTCAGGGCCTCGAGGCAGATAGTGCCAGTCCGAAACTCGCAGAAAATGTCTTCTAACTAATTATGGACAGCTTGCGCCGCTTGTCAGGAGAATGTCCGGCGCCTGCGAACAGGCCCCCACAGAAAGTCCCTTTCTGCCTGCGGCGAGGCCATGCAAGGCATGAGTTGAGATGTTCTACCTGCGAAGGACCCGTCATGAATGAGCTCGTCAACCATCCAGAATGGATGCCCCTGCTGTTGGATGAGAACGGAGGGGCGACCTTTGGTTTGCATGCATTGCAGACAGCTGCGGCTGGCAAAACTCCCTTGCAGGGCATCGTAGCAGACATGGTTCATAAGCTTCCGAAGGGATGACTGACAGCCACAGATAGCCGAAGGCAGGCACAGGAGTTCGGAGGCCCTTAGTACTGAGTACTGGTCTTGGACGAACGACCAGGCCCTCTTGAAGCTCTAGCGACCATGAGATACACTTCTGTAGACATGGGCCTTGGATGGTATTCCTGTGCTTCTCTTGCTGTCGTGCACTCTGCCACTGGAAAGCTCTAGCGAATTCTTGACCAAATCCCTGACTCAAGCCTTCATTCCGAGTCATCCTTGGATATCAGAGGCAGAGCTATCTCGCTCAATCTTAGTCTCGAAGGTGATGAACCTCGAGCAGAGACAGTGCAAGCAAGAAGCTGCAGCCAATCTGCGAGGTTCATCGCCTCCATAACTTCACATTGCAAGTTGCTTAATGACCTGGCCTGCTGAAGACGAGCGCTGCCGATGCAACTGCCCAGTTGGGACATAGAACAGCTCCATGCGCAGCACGTTTTACACATGCACCGACGGGCAGCGCGCTTAGGCGGAGTTCTCTCAGCATCCAGGAGCACAGAAACAAGCATGATCCATGCAGCAGCTGGAAAATTGGCTACTGAACAACTTCGACAGCTATAAAACTCAATCAAACTCCTGACTTTCTATATTAACCTGTGAACAAATTCAATCTAGGTTTAAGTCATTTAATGCTGAGGTCGTTTCGAGCCTCAGTTGTCACAGGGTTGGGCTATTTTCTGATTTCTTAATGTTCCATACATTTGGCTAGATTTGGAAATAGTTGAACGTTGAAACATTATGCACTGTATATGTTGCGTGCGAGCATTTTGGAATGAATTCATCGTTTTTAGTAGAATATTCGTAAGAATACGGATGTTTGCAAGCTTGAAATCATCTACTATGGAGGCACGTCATATTGAAGCTGGAGGTATGAGCAGTTTCTAGATGAAAACGCGCACTCTCCCTCCCACATGAGTATGTTTCTCCGTGCTAGTCGTCATGCACCAGGTGATAGGCAGTAGAAGAGAAAGATGCAAATGGGATTTGCGTGGCGGGTGGAGGTGCGAACGGTCGGGCGGATTGGGATGCACCTCCGGATATGCGTGTGCGTGCACATGCACGACTGTGGATGTATGTGTATGAGTTTGTGTATGTGTGTGCGTTCGGACATGGAGATATCGGTCGCTCGTTCCATTCAAGGAGGTTGTTTCAAGCTAATGCGTTTTCGTCAATGGCGGAGAGGACTGGGTGTGTGTGTGTGTGTGTGTGCGTGTGTGTATATATAATATATATGTATATATATATGTGTGTGTGTGTGTGTGTGTCTGTGTGTGTGTGTATGTGTGTACGTGCGTGGTCTGTGTGTGTGTGTGTGTCTGTG